ATGAAAAGGAAATTTAGATCTTTTATTTCTTAACGGAAAGGAACTTCTACAATGTTTGCTCAATTGGCACGTATGACACTGCAATTTACTAACTAACAAAGACTTAAACAACTCAGGAAACATAAGTTTTAAAGACTCAAACGAAAGGTGACCAAGATGATTATGCCATAAGTAGGCATGACTTTCACTAGAAGAACTTAAAGACTCTGTAGTCACAAGACCAGCTTTATTCTCTAACACGTAGAGGCCATTCACCATGCTTCCTCTACCAATCGTCTCCCCCGAGGTCAAATCCTAAAACACACACGAAGAAGGAAAGAAGGTCACTGAACAATTCAAGGAATGAGTAATACTACTAATGGAAAGTAAATTGATAGGTAATTTAGGAACATGCAGCACATTAGAGAGGGTAAGACCAAGAGGAAGGGAGATGGTTCCTTGACTGGCTATGGTGGAATAAGACCCATCAACCAGTCTCACCTTATCTCTCCCAGAGAGGAGGTTATATGCCTGAAATAAATTTGACTTACCGGTCATGTGGTTTGAGGCTCCAAAGTCAATTATCCTAGGGGAATCAGATGTATGAGATGACACATGGAAGGCAGTGGTAGTGTTACCTAATGTAGACGCAAAGGAGGTAAAAGGAGTAGGGCCAGAATCCATCTGGCGAAGTGTCCTACCATATAATTCCAAGTGGTCACGAAAGGAGTTGATGATCTCTTCCTTGGGGTCAGAACCAGAGTGTCGCTCTTGGGGTACCATGGGACTAGTCTCTTGAGATGCCACATTTGCTGAGTTATATTTCTTCTAACTCTGCTAGGTTGGTTTCTTACTCGGATCAGACTTCTTACTCAATTCCTGAGCCCATTTCGGCTTGCCATGAAGATCCCAACATGTGTCTCTAGTGTGTCTAGACTTTTGGCAGTGAGTGCACCAAAGTTTGTCTTTGTCATCCACACTTCTTCTGCTCTCTTCAGACTGAACTAGGGCATAAGCTTCTTGGACTGAAGGTAGGTTTTTACTTCCTAAGATTTGTACCCCCATGGATTCATATGTAGGATTCAACCCCAAAAGAAAGGCAAATACCTGTTGCTGGGAAACAAGTGATTTGTAGGCCATTGCATCCTCATCGCACTTCCAATTCACATTTTGATAATGATCCAGTTCCTCCCAAATTGATGCCAAGTCTGAATAGTACACCAAGAGACTCCTCTCCCCTAGCTTGCAAGTGGAGGATTCTGCTTGTAATCGATATATCTTTGCATAGTGTCTCTGTTCTAAATAGGTAGATTTTGCTTGTTCCCATATTTCACAAGTTGTTTCAGCCCACAAGGTCTTCCTTACTTGTGGCAGCATGGAAACCAAGAGCCATGACATCACCATGCTATTTTCGTGGTCCCATCTGTCATGTTCAACACTACCAATCTTTGGTTCCTTGATTTTACCATTAATATACCCAATTTTTCCTCTAGCAGTAATATAAAGTTTAATTCCCCTARACCAYYCAAGATAGTTCAGTCCATCAAAGGGGATTACAGCCATGGGGAAACTCATATCCATCCCCCCACTCATTCCATTTTGACCTCCTGAAATTCCTGAAGTTGCAGAATTCTCAGAGGACATGACTCAAACACCTTTCAGACCTTACACACACCTTATGATCCCTCCTATCACCAAACAAACAGTCCTAGAAACACCAAGGATGAAGCCCGCATGCACACACTACAATCTGGACACAATCTGACCACAAACCAGCCTAGATTGCCCAAAAAAGGCAAGATTTTAGGGTGATCTCAGAGCTTATCTGACCTAGCAGTCACACTCCACCATTTTCTAGACACCCCAAACACATCGACTGCTAGGAGGGGTCATAAACCAGTATGGTTACACCACAAGGATTAAAAGATCAGGTCATCCACAATCTACAGATCTGAATTCTCAGACATGGGATCACACGATCCATTAAAAAAAGAGGTTCGAACCTCATAGCTTCTCAGACAACATTCAGCAGTCTGGAGTCATATAGTTTCTTCTTGGTACACGACCAAGGAAAAGGAAAAAAACACTAAAAAAAATCTGTACCAGTCGTAGGTCTGCATTTTTTTTTATCTCAGTTGAAGAAAACAGCAAGTTGAAGCTTGCTCGATCTGCTCACAGGCCTAGCAGAACCGCTCTGATACCATATTAACAGCTGAACAGAGAAGAGAGGTAGGAAAAGAGAAGAGGAAGAGAGGAGAGAAGAGAGAAAAGAGATTTGGAGTCTGCTACAGTGCTGGCGGCGCCAGCTTATATTAATATATATAGGGTGACCATAAATAGAAGGGAAAGGACCCTTATGCCCAGTAGGACTTAAGTTATAGCATAAAAAACAAAAGAAAAAACTGATTTAATTTGTCCAAACGGACCCTAACTCAACAGAATACAAACATAATAAATAAAGCTAACATTCCAACAGTTTCTTAGTTGATTTTGAGGAATACAATTTTATAATGAATTGCCTTGTTGGACTTGTTTGGATATCCTTATATTTTGTTTTCTTATTCTAGTTCATCTTTCCATCTTTTTTTTTTTCTTGAATCTCTGCTTCTCTTCTATAATTATTCTTGATTTTTGTCCTGCTTGTTTATGGCTTATAATTGTTATTTCATAGTTTAATTTTCAGCATATGCACTAATTTCTCTTTAGCATAATATGTCTTGAAACAACTCTAACATTGACTTGAGGAAATAGAAAAACCCAAAACCCTATCAATAAAATGGCTATATCTCTTTCAAGACATGCTGGATTTACAAGATCTTGGCCCCATTGAATGGATAGCTCAAATGACACTGAAATCATGCAAAGTGGACAAGTTATGACCCCTTGAAAGTAAGTTGAATGAAAATGATGTAATTTCATCTTCAACTTTTCAAAATACTAAGACCTCTCCAAAATGACTGTTAATACTACTAAGACCCTTAAATAAATTTAACCCTGTTCTAGACACTGACAAACTAGTCAATAAATTAGCAAAAACACAAAAGCACCAAAATCTAAATTACCAGAAAATTACAAAATTGCCATTGATTCAAGAATGTGAAGAAACTTGATTTCTTCTTCCATGGCTTCTTTCTTTGCTTCCAATACCTGCATCACTGTAACTTTTACAAAAGAGGCCCCCTCTATCCTCAATTTGTCAAAGACCAATCACTATTATTTTCAATTCTATAGAAGTCTGACTTATTTGAACAGCCATGATTGCCAAAGTTTCCTTAATCTCATTTAGGTAGTGAGTCATGCACTAGGGCTCACTTGCCACTCTTCAGTAACGTCTTATGGCATATGCCAAGTCCCCTTCAATCACCCATGAGGACAACTTGTGCTGATTGGCAATATAATCACTCATGACAAGTGCCCTAACCTCTGCTTACTTGAATTTAGCGTCTTTTAGTAAAGGGACTTCCATCAGATTAGATAATAGATAACATCCCTCCAATGCTTAATGGCCTTGACTGGCAATACTGCTTCCTTCAAATTGCAAATTTATCTCCTCTTCAGCAATCTGATCAGAAGGATCTTAAGAAAATTCCTTCTCAGATTATCTGATGAGTTAGGCCTTTGAATTCATCAGTTACAAGTGCCTAAGAGCTAAGAAGAGGACAAAGCCCCTTAAGTACTCAAATGGTTTCTTTAATTTTTTTTTTCGTAAGTTTGCTTTGCTCTTTTCTCCCAGGTGTTCCACACCATTCCATGGACCATAACCTTACAGTCCCCCAATTCCATGCTTGTGACTTGCCAACAGAGTAGCATTATCTCTGATGCCATTTTGGACAAACCACCCGAGCCCTACTGTCCTGAGAAAACTGCTAAAGTGCCATAGCTGATGGAGCTTTAGGCCCAAGGGGTGAACCTCATTCACGTAAAGAAGGGGTTAATGTGGTTGTAGGAGTAAGAGGATACGGTAATCAATTTGTGGAGATATTTGAGCATCCCAAAGTTGACTAAAATATATGAGAGGAAGAACCACAGGCTGCACCCAGATTTGGAAGTTGGCAGCAGTTTCTAAATCTATACTTTCTATTTTTATGTTTCCAAACCAGTTGTTATTTTCTTTAGGCTGTGTTTGGTTTGAAAGAAAAGGTAGGGTTTCCTTCTTTTCCCTCCCTTTGCTTTCAAACCAAACAGTCTTAGGGAATGCCCTATGTTTTTAGAAGGGTATACAACTATTAGTTTCCTATTTTGTTTAGGAAACTATTAGTTTAAGTCAACTACTTTGTGAAGTTTTATTCTTTGGAGTTTCTAGGTTCTAATTAGAACTCAGCCGCGGTTTTAGTAATTGCTAAATTTATATTTCAATCAAAACTTTGAGGAGTTCTATATGTAAATCTGTCCAGAATAGCAGAAATGAATGAGTTGATTTTTGTTCTTCTCTATAGTAGCTCTTTTTTTTTCCACCTTTTGAAATCCATGTTGGAAAAATATATGATTTCTTCTCTTCTTTTTGTTATTTTCTAGTAGTTCTCTGCTACTAGAAGAAAACCAGCAACTATTGTCTAGATTTTCCCTAGACTTCAGAGTATACTTGGCTAGACTTTGAAGCGAGGCTACCTATTGACATTCCCTTCCATCTACCAGCCCCTACATTAATAAAGATGATGTTGAATTTTATCTCTCCCTTAACAGTAAGAGGAATGGTTACTTTTCGATTGGGTTAACAGGTGAAAACTAGTGAATCTCAAGTAAATTCCTTCTCAGATCATATAATGAGAAGGCCTCAAAGGATTCTTCTTTGTTTTCTTTTCAAAAGTCAACCTTTCCTTGGCTTCTGAACTGTCTTTGTACATAATGGTAGAACATGTTGATTGAGAAAGTATGCTTCTGAATATTGAAGATATAACTTTCCTTACAGAAAAATGTATTTAAAAATGGCCTAACCATATAAACACCCTAAAAAACTAAAGCAAAATATGAGCGTGTTACTTGCTTTTGTTGGTGATGCTTTACTTGGATTTGCATCGCAGGTGGAACATTCATTGCCGCAGCAGTTTGTTCACACACTTAAGGATGGGCAGTTTGTGACATCTCCAGTCTCTCACTCTGGGGGTTAATTGCGAAACAAGCTTCCAGGTTGCAGTTAGGTTCCCTTTTCTCCTGTCTCAATTGTGTGTTGGGTGAAGGCGGCTTTCTGTTTGCTTTATTTTTGTCTTGTGTCCATTAAGCTCGGTTGTGTGTATACGAATGTATCTTGTAATCCTTAGGTCATGTTCTTATTATTCTTTTGAATTTTGATTGATCCGACTGTTGTAATATTTATTCCTAATGTTCTTGGGAGAGTTGGGTTTGTAATTGTACTTGGTCTCTTTGCTGAGTTGTCCGGTAGTGACGCTTGTGGCATAATAAGTTGCACATTGGGTTGTTGCCTTGTCAGCACTTTTTTTTTGTTGCTTCATTATCTACATCTGCAGAATAGGAGTCCGGATCTGCTCCTCACACCAACCCCACAGGCCACAGCACGTCCCAGCTGCACATCGGGAAGATTTCTTGTACTTGTGTGTTGTTATTCCTAGGTGGGATGTTCTGTGAGATCGGTGTGGGGAGCAAATCTCAATTCGCAGAAAGTCCAGATCAGCTTCTCACAGAGCTTTCTTCTTTCGACTGGCTCACGAGCCTCAGACTATACCACATGTGGTCTTCGAACTGGTTCTCTCTCTCTCTCTTTCTCTCTCTCTCTCAAATGCGTTTTTCTTTGGAAGGTTCCTATCGTCTCCATTGTCATTGCATTTTTAAGTTGAGGTAGCTTTCCTCAGAGTTAGAAGTAGTGGCGTACTGGCGGTGTTACAAGGAGTATTTGAAAGACAATTTTAAGAGACAGTACTTAAATATGCTCTTGAAATCGTATGGTTATGGTGAAAAAGAAAAGATACACGTGAATATGTTAGAGTAATTCATATAAATTCCAAATATATATCAACAATAATACTGGATCCAGAACTGAAATCTTTATGAACAAGTAAATACATTCTAATAGTTTTCTTTGAAGTGTGAAATATTAGTGATGATGCGCAATCCGGCCGGTCTTAGCTGTTAATGACCTTGCCTTTGAATCGAGTAGCGGGGACCTGAAACGGAGGAGATGAAGAAGTTCCAGGGAGAACCCGGTGTAAAGGCTCTGAAGCTTAAGTTAGAATCTTTCAAAGGCAAGATAAATACATTYTAATAATTTTTTCTGAAGTGTGAAATATTAGTGATGATGCGCAATCCGGCCGGTCTTAGCTGTCAATGACCTTGCCTTTGAATCGAGTAGCAGGGATCTGAAATGGAGGAGATGAAGAAGCTCCAAGGAGAACCCGGTGTAAAGGCTCCGAAGCTTAAGTTAGAATCTTTCAAAGGCAAGATAAACCAGATAGCGCAAAGTTTGCATACCTCCTCTTTGGGGGTGGAGAGTCTTTTATAACCACCTCGCGCACTCACTCCTAGTCTCCTGTCAGGTCGGGAATGAGTATTTCCGTGCTTCTGCCAGTTCGGGCGTCATCGCCTCTGCTGGGGCAGAACTGTCACTGCCCCTTTTGTCGGAGCCGTTTCTGCAACTGGAGGCAGTGGTGACAGGTGACGGTGGCAAGTGGCCGTTGGGAATGCGGCCGTCAAGCGTCAGATCCCAAGTCAATCAGGTGCGCCGCCCCTGGATACGGACTCCTTCGGTGTCAGGTACGGCGTGGTTCGTCCAGTTCAATGCTCCGGAAGCGAAGTGCCTGGAGTGGTGCGTGAGGCAAAGTCTCGAGTTCGGATAAGGGGAGGCCCCGAACTGTCATAAGACGGGCCAGTTCGGGTCTCTACTTTGTGTGACTCGGGGTCAAAGGGAGAGTTCGGGCTCCTCGCAGGGAGTCCGATCACTAAGTAGGGAGCTCGGGCACTAAGTAGGGAGCTCTTTTGAACTTTAAGTAGGGAGCTCAGGCCTCTTGCTAGGGAGTTCGAGCTCTAAGTAGGGAGCTTGAGCCTGCTGGTCCCTTTCCTTTGGCGTTTGTACCCTCGGTATGCTGTCTTGAGTGCCGAGCTGCTTCCCTTTTTTGCCACGTGCCGTGATTTGCGAGGTCGGGCCAAATCTTCCTTCATCAATTAGGATGTGCTTGAAAAATATTGGTAAATGGTGGAAGCGTTTAAACATATTTGTATATCTTAATAAATTAATATAAAGTCTATTAAATACTTAAAAATATAAAGTCTATTAAATACTTAAAAATATCAATCTTCTAAAAAGTGGGCATAAATAGTTGTATAAAGTTAAAAGCCTTTACCTACCACCGATCACCATGTCGATGGACCAATTGTTGCAATGTATGTCATGGAAAAAAGTGAAAAATTGGCAGCTCGTAAGTAAAGCCTCGGGTCAGGGACCCAAAAGATGCTTTTAGGGACTTAAGAAAAGTCGGGAAGGCTGGTAAGAGACTTTCTCCTGTGTTCATTGACTGTTAAGTCTGTTACATCTCTGCTGAACAAATGCATCCTACCAGATCGTAAAAGACGGAGAGCAGTAGGTGGAATTGGGACGACTGGAATGGCAGATGTGAGCATCTAGCTTGGTTATTTCTGCTTTTATAGGCTTATAGCTTGGATTGAAACCGCTGGTCTGAACCATTCTCGCTTTGAGAGGGCTAAATCAATCCCTCTGATGGGGTCTGCTAACCAAATAGACAGCCCCAGACCATACTTTATAGTCCAATACCAAAAAAAAAAAAATCCAAGGATTCCGATTGTCAAAGTCACTGCTCAGTACTATGGGTCTCTTCTAATTGTAACAAAGCTGCACACCAGGGCCAAAAATGCTCTCAGTATTACTCATTGTACACATGGTCGATTCCTCCTGGTTTTCTACTTGAGTCTTTGTTCTTTGATTGTAATTCTGAGCAGATTAGTTAATGAATTAGCATCCAGTACCTTACTGGATGGTCTTTTGCCTTAAAAAAATGGCATGTAACGTACAAATTGTGGTCGGGGAAGCACAGCAGTTCTATGCTGAAAGTCTAAAACAATTTATATCAATTTTCTGGTTAAGTTTGTTTTTAGGGTAAAAAAATGAAATCCTCCACGGTGGTTTCTGAGAATTATACAAAATTTGTGAGGTTTAATTTTAATAAAAACCTCCACTGTAGTTTTGAAAAAAAAAACTACAGTTAGTCTCTTTCATCGTTATTGTAGATAAAAAATGTTGCTTAATCCACTAAGTTTTTTTTTTTTTTTTTGGAAATACCTATTTTAATCATGTCTATCAATTCCTATGAAAATACTCTATAAAAAATTTTAAATTCTTGGCTTTTTTTATAGTTCAGTCCACCATAATGTATTATTCCCACTCCCTATAAACAGCATCCCCTTCAATTGGGAATCTTTTCCTTAATTCATAGTTAAAAGAGTTCCTTGGGTCAAATCCAATAAATTAATTTGCTTTGTAATATTATTGAAGTCCCATTTTATTAAAGTGAAACCTTACAAAATAAGTTTTTGACTGTCAGAAATATTGGAAAAATGACTTATCAGTTAAACTCAAAATTCTTTAGTTCCATCGTACAGGAGATGAATTTTGACCAACAATTGATGCCAAATATAATTTATAAGAAGGACGGGGGGCTACTGATAGACTATGAGGGCTGCAATTCAAAATTCAGTGAGCTGCAGAATACTTTTCCCTTTTTATTAAGCTATGGTTCCGAACTTTTCTAGTCTTCGATGGAGGGCGGCACCAGTCGCGATTCTCTACTATGCCGATTGCTGGTGGTGGTGGCCCTCTCTTGCGTTTTTACGTCAAATGAGGAAAAATGGAAAATTCCTCCACCGTCATTGTGGTGTTGTCAGAATGATGATTCGGTAAGTATCATTCACGCTCAGAAAACCATGTGAGCTCCAGCCTCTATCGCCTTCGATCTATCCATTTATTGCCTTGTAAAAAGCGAACACATTTTCTATTGTCTTGCCAACCGTCCGTTCACTGGATTTTACCAACTGACAGAGGGCTCTGCTCTCATCTCATCACTACTCGTTATTTTACCACATGACAGAGGGCTCTGTGGATTATTGGACTGTGAGGCTGGGTAGGTGAGCTTCAATTCAAACTCACTATTTGCTATCACACTAACTTGAAGACGGACAGTTGTGGATTGGAGCTTTAGAGTTCACATTGGCGCCCCACAGTAAGCCCTACATCTAGGGAGATCGGCTTCAGTCAGTGCAAGGCCCGGTTAAATACTGTTCGAACAGTCTTTTTTACAGTCTTGTATCGGGAATATCTCTATACTTCTATGCTTTATTTTATGAAAAGATATTTCCAATGCAATGCTATGATGATTGTTTGAACGGGCTTTGCACTGACTGAATCCCATTTCACATCTAGTGGTGAGCATTATTTGGTTAAAATCGAAAATTTTGGTTTTAGTTTTTTCGATTTGGTTAATTTGGTTTTTAGTTTTGGTTTTCAGAATTAGAAATTCAGTTAACCGAAAAAATTGAATTAACCAAAATTCATTATATAATATATAATATATTATGTATAGTATATTATAATGAAATTCAGTTCCATAATATATATATATATATATATATATATATATATATATTATAATATACAATATTTTATATATGTTAATGAAATTTGGTTTTAACTGAAAATCAAATTGAAAATTTCGATTTTAAAAATTTTGGTTTATTAGTTCAATTTTTAACTAAATAAATCGAATGATCACCTCTACCCACATGCACATCAAAGCATGCATTGGAAATATCTTCCATATTTGACATTGTGAGATGTTCCCACTACACGGTTGGGATGTTCTGCCAGATGCTTTCTGTGGGGCATTCATGCGAATTTGGAGCTTACAAATTTGGTAAATGCTGACATGTGGAAAGAGTGATTAGATTCAGTGCTCATAAGACTTTTCTCACAGCTTTTTACAGCCATGTATTTGGAATATCTCTATATTTATATGCTTTTTTCATGACGAGATATTTTGAATACAAGCACTGTCTTGTGAGGACCAAATCCAATTTCCCGAAAAAACCACGGGACATACTGGTATAAGAATGAATTGTGACCATACAACCCCCTACCCCCACCCCATGTATTGGATTAAAATCTTATGGAGTCTGGGACCTACTCCCGGCCCCCCTCTTTTAATATATTCCCGAATCAATTCATCAAACAGCACCAAATACTCTTTCAAGTTGGAGGGGATTATAAAGACTTGGGGTGGAAAAAAAAAAGAAAGACATAGGTCAAATAATAAAGTATTTAATTACCCATAATAATTTAACAAAGCATATTACATTATACATTACAAAATGAGGCCAAACAGGATTCATGAACCGATCCTATAGGATAAGACTTGATGACAATTATGATGACTATGACTATGACGATAATGATTTCCGTTAATGAATCTCTGGTAAGGTAGTTAAATACTCAAATCGTTAATGTTTTGTTTGGTTCCAAATTCCGCTTCTGCTTTCCAACTTCCTGATTATATTGTAACTTAGATGATGTCATGTTTTCCTTGTTTTTCTGATTTTTTTAGTTTTCTTTTAGACTATGTTTGGTTTGAAGGAAAATGCAGGAAAAAAAAAAGAAAAAAGTGAAAAAACTTTTACAAATTTTGTATGGATTCTCTGTCTTTCCCTACCTTTTCCTCCAAATCAAACATAACCTTAAAGATCGTTTTTTCTTAAACAATGGGCCCATGATGAGCTGTGGGGCTGGTGTGGGGCGCTGATGCGAAATATATTTTATATCCTGGTGCACATGCGGCCTTTTCTCTATCATGCAAAATTATGGTACTCCTTCGTATGTCAGTGAGTCCATTCACTCCATCTCATCTCAACGTTCCAAAATTCAAAAACTGGAATCAAAACAAATATGAATTAAATAACACAAACAGACAAATTGATTGCGTTGGATGGCTATGGCTAATAGTTGCCAATGGGCCGGGCCCATTGACTCGGTTGCCTTCACATTTTACACACTGTGATACAATGCAACCCCTTCCCCTTGCAACAAACCGCTCTCCTGTAAGGGTATATACTATGAGTCTGGATCTCCTGCCCATAAATTTTGTTCACGTTTATCCACATAATATCACAGTCACACATGAAGAATATCAAAATTCTTATGGACTGGGAGATCCGGTGTCATACACTATACACTGGATACGGTTTGCAGTGTAGAGTCTCCAAATTTCAGATAATAAATAGATCGATCCCACCGTAACGTTCACGCTCGAAGAACCTGACTTCAAAAGAGACTTTTCCTTGCTTATTAAAAAAAATAAAAAAGATCAGAAACTTTTCCTTAATCGAATTTCGATTTATTTCGGATCTTTCACTGTAACTCGATTAAAAATTAATAATTTCAGAAGAACAGCCAAGTGGAAATTACTACCTGACCACGTGAATTTCTTCTTTACACTGTCTCGGATGCCCATTCGTTTCTTCAATTCTTCTCTCCTGGTCTGCTTTATTTATCCTTATTTTGTCTTGCCTGTCTACTCTCTGTCTTTCAAAATTCTCCGAGTGAGTGAAACGCAGCTACTCAGAAGGAGTGACCTCTTCTGCTCTCTTCCTGTCATGGCAGAGCTTCGCCGGAACTCGGCTTTCATCTTGCTTCTGTCCACCTTCTTACAGTCTCTTCTCATCGCAAGTAAGTCCCGATTCTCTTCGTACAACCACGTAAATTTCCGATCCCCAATTTTGTAGTACAATTCGTCTCTGCGAGCACCTGGAACCTCAACTCTAGTTTTTTCATGAATTTTTTACAGGATTTCTAACTGTTTTCTTTATGATTACTCCTTTCCCCCAATAGGTCCTTTTCATTCTCTCTCTCTTTTTTTCCTTTTGAAAATAACTCTTTTCAAGATTGTGTCCTTTTGAATTTTCTTTATTTTTGGTGTCTAAAATTATACGCAGGAAAAGGCACTTGAATTTGATTAGAGTTCTTTATACTTTTGTTTTACCCTATGATTTCACATCATTTTTATCCAGTGATAAGAACATAATTCCTTATTTTAATAATCAGGTTCTTTGTTTTAGTTTATAATTTATAATTTTCTCGGAAGACTTGGTCTTTCTTGTATCATCCGATCGATATATATATTACTCAGACTTCAGGAATTTGAAGGTCTGACTCGGATTCAGACTGGCCGGAATCGCAAATTCACGGGTCAGAGTTGGCAGAACTTTTACTTGAAGCCAGCTAATCATGATAACCGAGTCCTCTCCATCTCGAACGAGTAGTCAAACATAAGTCTACGCGCTGAAAATAAAATTTCTTGTTTCTGCAGACTCCCAGTCTTTTATCGGTGTAAATTATGGCCAAGTCGCTGATAATCTCCCCCCTCCGGCTGCGACGGTAAATCTGCTCCAATCGACCTCGATCGGAAAAGTCAGATTGTTTGGCGCCGATCCTGCGATCATCAAAGCTCTTGCCAACACGGCAATCGGCATCGTAATTGCCGCGGCGAACGGCGACATACCCCCCTTGGCCTCCGACCCTAACTTCGCGAAGCAGTGGATCAACTCCAACGTCCTCCCCTACTACCCCGCCAGCAAAATCATCGTCATCAACGTCGGCAATGAGGTCATGACCTCTGGCGATCAGAATCTGATCTCGAACCTCTTGCCGGCGATGCAAAATGTCCAGAACGCCCTGAATGCAGCATCTCTGGGCGGCAAGATCAAGGTGTCCACCGTCCATTCCATGGCGGTCTTGGCACAATCTGATCCACCATCTTCGGGAATGTTCCATCCTGAATTATTCGAAACGCTGAAAGCAATGCTGGGATTTCTGCAAGATACGGGTTCGCCTTTCACCATCAACCCATATCCCTTCTTTGCGTATCAGAGCGATCCTCGGCCGGAAACTCTAGCCTTCTGTCTTTTCCAGCCCAATGCTGGCCGAGTCGACTCGGGAACCAACATCAAGTACATGAATATGTTCGACGCGCAGGTGAGATGATTCGTGGACTCGGCCCATAGTTATAAAGCCCAGTCCCATTGCTAATTACTGACGTATCACAATGTGTTGTTATGAAAATTTTATGAAACTTAAACGTAAGACAATTTACTATTCCCCATAATTTGAGGATATTGGGCCGTGATGGCTGATGTATTCAATGGTTGGCCCAATTGTGCCTTGGGCTCCAAATCCCAAGGTCTAACTCAATCAGACTATTGACAACGTTAACTGTGCGCAGGTTGATGCCGTCCGATCTGCCTTACTGCGGGCGGGATTCAAGGACGTAGAGATTGTGATCGCGGAGACAGGGTGGCCTTACAAAGGAGACAGCAATGAGGTAGGGCCCAGCGTGGAGAACGCCAAGGCGTACAACGGCAATTTGATCAAACACCTGAGGTCAATGGTTGGAACCCCACTCATGCCTGGCAAGGCTATCGATACTTATCTCTTTGCATTGTACGACGAGGATTTGAAGCCCGGGCCGGGTTCCGAGCGGGCATTCGGACTTTTCAAACCCGATCTCACCATGACATACGACGCCGGTCTGTCTAAGAGCAGCCAGGTGAGAGAATTTTGAGTTATCTGTTTTAAGTGTGTGGAACCTTATCATTGGTTTGACAGCCTGCTGAACAGTCATCGCGTTCAGCTAATCCGAATTCCTTATGCTACTGGACAGCCGGTGGGTATGGGTCCAATGTCCCGTCACCATGCATCAACCTCTGGTGGATGGATTGAGTAAAAAAACGTTAGTTTCTCAACTCTGCTGAAAATCAGAGTCGTACACTACTTTCTAAAAGTTTCTTATATTTTAAGTTACTGCAGAACTGTTTCCGCCACCGTCCAAGTTCGTTTGTACCCAGAAACGGATCCAAATGGCTATACGTCAAAGCACCAAAATTGTTTGTACCCAGAAATAAAAAAGGGATTGTAGCCGATAAGGCTAATTTTTTGGGCCCTTATATCAATAAAAATAATAACTAAAAAAAGTTAGCTTTTTAAGAAAAGATAAACAAGGGAAGATTCGAAGAATGAGATGAACAGTGATTAATCAGTGTTTTGAAACAATCCAAAAAGTACTGTGATTAATCAGTTCCAAAGGGTGGTTTTCTGTGTAGCGATTATGAAGCTAGATGGATTTAATTTTCATGGGATTATTGTTGTTATTCTTTCTTGTTATTGACATGGATTCTGTTGCTCTTAAGACGACCCCAACTCCAACAACTCCAGTGAATCCATCTCCACAACCAAAGCAAACAGTTTGGTGTGTGCCAAAGGATGGCATTTCTGATGCCCAATTGCAGTCAAATCTTGACTATGCTTGCGGCCATGGCATCGACTGTGGTCCACTCCAACCGGGCGGCGCTTGTTTTGAACCAAACACTGTGGCAGCACATGCTGCTTATGCCATGAATCTCTTCTACCAAAATGCAGGACGGAATCCCTGGAACTGTGATTTCTCACAGACGGCAACTCTTACATCCAACAATCCTAGTAAGTACACGCATTCCCACTTCTTTTATCAAGAGTGAAATTCTGTCTAAGATCCTAATTAATAATAGCATTATTTCTTCTTCTTAGTAAACATTAGAGGAAGGGATTAACCCTGTTCTTGAATTCTTAAGTTCATAGTCATTTTCTTATTTTATTTCCTTGAAAGGTTGGATTTATATTTTATTAATTTATACGTGTCGGATGATTTCTTGTATAGGTTACAATTCTTGCATCTACCCTGGTGGAAGTACCTGAAAAGGGAAAGAACTTTCTCCGATTGTTACAGAATAAAGTTGAATAAAGCGTGGTTGCATAATTGGCGGTTCTTATTCTTGGCCTGGTGGGTGCATGGGAAGGTACATCCCCTTTAATTGGGTGGAGGAGAATTCTCTCCCTATCCTTTTCTCTATCTTGTATTATTAATTGACAACGGAGGGAGATGTGGGAAATGAGTAGGTTGTAATGATTTTGATAGAAATGTTAGTGATATAGAGGATAGGTTTTTTTATGTATAGCAGCTATAGCTGTACGCTTGTACCATGCTTCACATATATATATATATATATATTTATGCGATGTTAAAAGCAGCCTTTTCTGAATTCTGGTGCTTAAAATTATAGAGTTCAATCAAACACCACACCCTTGTTTTGCTTTATGTTATCTTCGCAGACATGTTAGGCCCCGCATGCCTTTGATTGGAAATTTCAATATTTTCCTTGGTGGTCCAAGCTTCAACTAGATACAGATATACCCGTCTGGATTTAGGTATAGCTTTGAATTGATGGATGCGTTAGGAGCTGTATAATCAATAATTTTGTATTTTAATCGAACTGAGCACCTCTACAATTAAACAGTTCATAACACAGCCATTAAGTTTCTGCTGATCGAGACTCTTTGCTGCTTAAGGATTTGAAATTTTAGTTGTGCAGCGGATTCCCTTACAAGTGGAGTTAGGCATAAGGATGCAAGTGCAACTTGGAATGGATTAGCCTGAACCTTGTATATCTTCCTATTTGTATAAATGTGTGTGTATTCATGTATATATAACAATGGAAAAAATATTCTAATGTAAAATGGATGATCTAATCCTAAACCATTGTAACTTTCTTCCTGGCTGAAGTTGTAGTCTTGAACCAGTCTCAAATAAGGGTGTCAACCGTATTCAAAAATCTGATTTTGAATTCAAGATTCGGTATAATAATTGAATCGAATCCGGATAATTTGAATATCTAATCGATCAAATTTGGATATGACCTGATTCGATTTGATAAATATCCGAATTTGATTGATTATTTAATTTTTATATATAATATATAAAATTTATATATTTATTAATTACATAAAATAATTAATTAGTCAAATTCAAATCGAATGTTCGAATATTTAATCGGATTCAAATTCGAATATTAGTTTTCAATATCCGTCGGATATTGAATCGAATTCAGATATTGAATTTTCTAATCATATTTGAATTCGGATATTGCTCCATCTGATTCGAATTTGATCCGTTTACACCTCTAGTCTCAAATGTAAAAATTTGAGATTAACAATTCGTGGAGCATTGCAAACATCATTAAAGATTGGCATTGCATTGTTAGAAATAATGTTTTAACCAAGGTTTTTAAAACTGAATCACACAACGAACCATTCAGGGGTCCGGTTCCCGGGTTGAACGGTCTGATCATTCGAACCAAACGGATGGCACGTTTTGACAAAAAAAATAAGATATGGTCAAAATTGTTGAATGGTTTGAACGATTCAAATGGTTTAATTGTCTGAATTAGCAGTTTGCTGACCAAATTAACGATTTTGGGCCAAAAAATAGTTATGGGGTAAAACGGAACCGGTTTCTAATTTTTCTAGTCCAGTTTTGAAAACCATAGGTTTAATTGTAAAATTTTCTCATGAATTTAGAGAAGCTAATAGGGCTGTTGATTGGTTTGCTAATGAAGCTAGAGCGGGTTGTGGGCTGAGAGCCTAAAAGCTCTGATAATAATTCTAGAGATCAGTCTTGGTTAGCTTTTTGTGATCTTTCATGGTACCTGAAGAGTTTTGATCAATTAAATCACTGTGAATTTTGATGAAAATTACCTGATTGGTCACCCCTTTTATGATAGTTGAACCTCCAAAAAATAAGGTTTTAGGAGGGGGGAATTGGAAAATGGGATTAATAAAACTTATGTTCTTTTTTCAGATTTATGTGGGGACTTGGTGGGTAAATTAATTTTCCCATATAGGAGAAAGTTGCTAATACTTGAATGGAACAAAAATGCCCCTTTTGATAATGAAATTTTTATGACTAAAATGGTCATTATATTATTTATCTGAAAAATATAAAAAAAAATGGATAAATGCACTTACCTGTGAAACATTTATCGGAGTAAGTGAATTTACTTGGATAAATATCTTACCAAAAAGCGAACCGGGCCTAAATAATTTTAACTAAAAACTGAGCGAAAAAAAAAGATAATTTTAACTAAAAGTGGTTAGTTAATAAATTAGGCCAAGTTAAACCCAAACCTGAAGACGTTGGGTAATGTCATGATTGGGGTTTCAACAACTCGGATTGGATCAGGAGCCTCAATCCAGACAAACCCGGCTTCGACTTGCACTTTAGGCAGATGATATAATTATCTTCTTCTACATCTTTGCTCAAGATTCCCTCCCAAGTAACCTTCACGTACAAATGCTTTCTCAAATAATTTCTTTTACAAAGAAAGGAGATTGAGGAAGAGTCATAAAGAAAGGAGCATACTAGATGCCTACTACGACCTATTAAAAGAAGCTGAGATATTCCTCTTATTAGCCACGTCAAGAGATGGAGTGGCCAATTTAGGCCACTCACATACTAGATGCCTACTACGACCATGCCAACTTGTGACCATTAGGGCTGTAATCAGATCGGATCCAGTTACATTCACATTTGGTTGATTACCAATTCTTTGGGTCAACAGCCAATCCAAAATCCAAATATGTCAGACTTTAATCTAGTTTGGATTTAATCTAAATGATCCGATTATTAATAGGATGTGAGCCCTAATACTTAAATTTGGGATAATACAATCTAGGGCCTATTTTGGATTTTGAGAGGGGGAAAGGTGGTCTGTGGTATCCATGTTTTTTATTTATGTGGGGTTAGCAAAAAAATTATTCTCCCTAGGAGTGATACCTATTTTCTACGTGGATAACCAATTTTTCCACTTGGGGGGAAAGTGGCCAACACTTGGATGAGAAAAAATTACCCTTTTAATAGATGTTTTATGGCTAAAATTGTTATTTTCTTATTTACATGGAAAATAAAATAACATGGATAAACGCACTTATCCGAATAAGTATTACACAGGAAACACTTACACACAAATTGATGAGGGTAGATTTGTCCCTCCATTAACATCATGACACATGGCATCTCGGAACAACTGGGTAACACCCAGAACCACCTACGCGACAACTTGCCTTAGCCAAAATGATGGAGTCCCAGCTAGCGACCTGGCACTGTTGCCAACCTAGCGACCTGCCTCCATCGCCGACTTGGTATAAACCTAGCCAACAACCTCGTCCACGACTTAGGGCGGCTAGCAGCACCTTGTCCAGGGCCGACATGTGGTACCTCGTCAGTATCGCCTAAAGCGACCTCGACGTGGGGAGCGACCTCCCTCGAGGGCTTGCCGACCTGATTGAGGTCTAGGTGGCGACCTACGAGACGTGCTCGCTATCGATTTCTACATGCATCCCATCACTCCCGGGTCTCTCGGAAGTTAGCTCTCACACCGAATGTTTTGGGAGAAACCGAGTAAGGCGCAAAGATTGGCCTACGTGCATGACTACTTCTAAGGACTTCGGAGCATTTAGGCACGTCCTCTCGGAGATCTCGGACGTGTTGCGTGATGCTCACACCAAACAATGCCTATATAAAGGCCTTACCTCCAACTCTAGGGGGGAGATGCACAATTTTTTTGTTTTCACAACTCTCTCACATTTAGCTATCTTAAAATCTCTAATTCGCTAACTTAAGCATCGGAGTGCCCACCCCAAGTTAAACAACCCGGGCACTCTGACACTGTTTCCTTGTAGGTCGCATCATATCCACCTCTCCAAATCGTTACCATTCAACTAGGCATAAGAGCCACTTTTCTAGCTCGTCACCATTCAGCTAGGCATTCATGCCACATTCCAGGTAAGGATTATTTAGCCAAACATCCAAGTCACCTACTAGTTGAGAACTGTCGAAATTCACATCATCACAAATAAATGCATTTACCCAGATAAATAACTTTCCAAAAAGCAAGTGGAGCTCAAAGGTCAAATGGGTGTTTAACTTTTGGAATCCATTGAGAGGCCTAGTGACCACTATTTCTTATGTTTCTCTATACAATACGGAGCCCATTTAACTTGTAATCCATTTCAATTAAGAAATGTTTGAGTTGGAGAAAAGGTGCCAGCTAGCTTATTGTTAGTTGTAGCCGATATATGGGGGGAGGGTCCCATTGAGTAACCCCATTTAACTACCAAAAAATAGTGTTGCATGCTTCTGTTGGTATTGATGTTTCTATACATTTGACAAACCAAAGGGGGTATTTGATATGTGATGTTGTATTATCATAATAGTTCTGATTGATCTATACATTTTATGTGATGTTTCTATACATCACCCATATCCATATTCAAATACTTCCAGGGTTTATTATCTGGGTATGTGCATTTATCCATATTCTTTTGATTTTTAGGATTCTCAGGTAAATAATAAATGTTATTTTTATTCATAAAAAATAATTATTAAAATGGGTAAAATAATCTCATAATGTTTTCTAAAAATTTTTCTCAGCTAAAAAAGTTATTTATCCACCTCAAAAATAGATAATTTTTACTCAAATAACTTTTTCATACATATTTACCTGTAAACGAACGGGCTCAAAAGAGATACGTCGCTAGATATTTATTTATTATTTTTTTATGTTCTTTATCTATGAGAAACGATGCGTACCTACTGCTAATAGTAATGGGGCTGGAGTATGCTATGCTCAAGCTGCATTGGGCTGGTCGACGGCCTTTTGAAGTGAGGTTGTTAAAAATTTTTAGTCTGGACCAATCGCAGCCCACAAGCTCTTGCCCCTCATTCTCTAAGCCCGCATTTCTGCTATGGGGAAGAACAAAGAGGTTAATCCATATTCCAAACTATTCGATAGAATTCACTTTAGGATTTTTGTGGAAGGTGTGTCAGACACACAAATATTGGGGGATGGATTTTTTTTATACATATAGTGTCATCTATATGGCTCTTGAATGTTATATATCGCAGCTTAGTTGAGCTGATCAATGTATTGTTCCCCCACAGTAGGAGGAGGTTAAATGATGCCTCAAAGAATGGTTTTTAAAAACGACCTGGAGACCGAACCAGTCAGGGGTCCAGTTATCGGGTCAAACGGTCTGATTGTTCGATTGGTCTATTTTAATAAAAAAATAAAAATAAATAAAAAATGGTCAAAATCATTTGAACGGTTTGAACAGTTAATTATTCGGGTCAGTAATTTGCTGACCAAAATCAATAGTTTTGAGCAAATTTTCGATTTTGGGGAAACTAAAACTGGTCACCTGACCAGCTCCTGGTTTTCTGGTCCAACCATCCAATCCAGTCCGATTTGGAAAACCATGCCTCAAAGAGAAAAGTCATTGTCCCTTTACCTTGTGGAGCTCATCAATGCACGGTGTGCCTCTAGCAAAGGCTAGTTGAGCTAGAGGCACCAATGGCTTCAATTGGGGTTTAGCCACAAAGCTTAAGGTGTGTTCAAAACGTTTGATATTTTGTAGATCAATTTGGTTTTAGGGCACACCATGCGTTCCTTTAAGGTTGTGGCATGTTTTGAAGCTATCTATAGACGGTTCTAAATTCTGACTCACAAAGTATAGTTTTCTTTTTTCCCTCTGTCCATGAAGCCTTTATAAGTTGAATTATTATTATTATTATTTTTTGGAAAACCTATTATGATGGAAAGCCGTGAATTTTGATAAAATCTCACTTGATTGGTTAAGAGTGATGCTGGTAGTTGATTGATTACAAGTTTTTCCGGTACTGTCTTTCTCGAACCCTAGGGTAATTGCTGAAACCTTCCCTAAAGTTTTTGGCCCTGAAATTTGGGTGATGTTTAGCATCGAAGATGATTCCTCACACCTGATTTTTGGAATATCGATGATTACTAAAAACAGTGATTTTCCAAAAATCACTCTTTTTTTTGTGTGTTATTTGGTATCATTTCCTCTATGTCAGCCAATTTTTTAGAAATCACTTTTGAGATTGTTTGGTATTGATTTTCAAGAATGATTATTATTCATTGAAGCACTGGAACACCTTCTCGCCCTGTCACATAGGAAGCCACCTCACCCAACAAAAAGAAATCAGAATCACCCGAAAATCAGCCAGTCACCAAATATGGTGATCCTTCGCCTAGGATGATTTTCAGGAATCATTTTTTTTTTGTTGAATTCCTAGAAACCAGCCTAATCGGCCAACCAAACAAGGAAAAATCACTGATTCTTCAAATTCTGATGTGGATCCAATATGGTGCCGATTTCTGATGTGGAAATCGGCACCAATGCCAAACATCACCTTGGTAATTGCAATCAATCACTACCCCTGTAGTTACTTTTGACCAAAATTTTTATTTCCCAAATTTGTTCTTTGTATCAATCACTACCAAAGCCTCTCCAATTCTTTTCTATAATTGATCTACTTTCCAAATTTGCCCTTCATGTCAATCACTCAAAGAGGGTCTACTTGCAATTATGTTAGAAAGTTCTCTTTTTTTTTGTATTAATCACTATCTGACACCCCATAGAGGTTATTACTCTTTTAAGTGAACAGTACAACATCAAACCAACAGTTCTTTTTCTTAAAGAGTTGATAATAGTAGGATTGAAAACTGCACCATCGTTGGGACAATTAATCTAGCGCACCAGTTAGGCTACCCCTTGGAAAGTTCATGGAGGTAAATATAATTAGCAAACTTTAGGGGAAATTTCAGCAATCGTTAAAAATTTCAGAGGTTTCAGTAATTTATCCTACTTATTATATAATAAATGACTAAAATATCTTATTTGCAATTTTAATGGTGATACATCTTTCATATGTTGTAATTTTTTTTTTAATTATGTTTGATTTCAACCACATAGCACAATAAGGGTAACTAGATTCAAACACATCATACTACCAAACACTCCCTTAGAGCATTCTAAGCATGGGTACATTGACACTAGGTCTGTTCACGGGTTGGGCTGGGCCGGGCTTTGTATATGTATCAATAAAATACATTCGGGCCCAAGCCTAGCCCAACCACCGGGCCTATGTCTTGAGCTTGAGCCGGGCCATAAATTTGAAAATAGATTTTTTTCTTTTTTATTCAATAAAAGTGTTTTATTTATATTAAAAACCTTTAAAACTCAAAAATAATAAAATTATCACTATTACTTGAAAAAAGGACAAGAGGAACAAAGAAAAAAATATTATATATATATATATTAATAAAATATGCTTTTTTATTATTTAATATATAGTATCAAGTTGGGCTCGGGCTTGAGCCAATCTTTTTTGAGAAAGCCCGAGCTTGGTCCAAAAAAAGGTTGAGCCCAAGCTCAAGCCCACAGGCCTAAAATTATAACCAAGCTCGACTTAGAATGGGATGGACCATCTAGCTACCCAACCCATGAACAAGTCTAGTTGACACTACCTTGTCCATTGAGTATCTAGATGGGGACCTAGGGGTGTCAACGGTATTTGAAAATCCGATTTTGAATTCGAGATTCAGCATAATTGAATCGAATTCGGATATGACTTGATTCAATTTGATAAATATCCAAATTCGACCAATTACTTAATTCTTATATATAATATATAAAATATTTAAATATCTTATATAATTTATATTATAAAATAATTAAATTATATAAATAACTTATATATTTATATACTTTATATAAATAAAATATTTATTTTATATATTTATTAATTACCTGAAATAATTAGTTGATCAAATTTGAATCGAATTGAATCTTCGAATGTTTAACCGAATTCAAATTCAAATATTAATTTTCAATATCCGTTGGTAGGGGTGAGCATTATTTGGTTAAAACCAAAAATTTCTGTTTCGTTTTTTCAGTTTTTAGGAATTTTAGTTTTTGGTTTCGGTTTTCAAAGTTAGAAATTCGATTTACCAAAAAAATCCATTATATAATATGTAATATATAATATTTAATATGCTATATATTTATATATTAATATATATTATATATAATGTATTATAATGAAATTCAATTTCATAATATATATTATAATAATATATATATATTATAGGTTATAATATATAATATTATATATATATAAATTAAATTTGGTTTTTAACCAAAATAACCTAAAATCGAACCAAAAATTCCGGTTCTGATTATTTCAATTTTCTTATAATTCAGTTTCGGTTTAGTATTCATTTTTTTTGTTTGTTTGATTCGATTTTTAATCGAATAAACCGAATGCTTGCCCATGTCCTTCAGATATTGAATTGAATTCAAATATCGAATTTTTCAAATTGAACTCGAATTCAAATATTGTTTGATTCGATTCAATTTTGATCTATTTACACCCCTAACAGGACCAATCACAATGTAACAATTCAGCCGATCATTCTAGGAAAGAAATAAATAACGCAAAAACTTTTGCTGTTGGAGGCCAACAGCGTATGCTGTTGAGAGCTTATCTATGCTTTTGGACAAAAGACATAGAGTGTAATTATTATTTTACCCCAAGCTACGTGGCAGTCCCAAGAATATTCTATGCAGCGTTGGCCAACAGCCAAAGTTTTATGCGTTCTGGATGAGACACGTGGTTACTTCACGATTCGCGTAGACTACGTTAAATCGTCTACTGAGTTAACCCGGTGTTTTGGATTATAGGCGTCTAAGCGCTGGAAGGAATGATGGGTTCATTACTCATTAGTTTTTCGATTACACGTCCCAGTGCTCCGGACTGTGTACGAGTTAGTTACTTCTGATTCCTCTCAGAGAGAGAGAGAGATCAGGGAACAGAGAAAGAGTGAAGGAGAAAAGGGCAGAAGAATCATTCGAAAATCAAAAGAATAAAGAAATAATGTCCGCCCGAGAGAGGGATAGAGATCTAGAGCTTCTCATTCCGGTATCAGAAGGAAGCAACCTAGAAGATGGTGGAGGCTCCAACTTGTCGTCGGCTTCGCCCACTTCCATCACTCCTTCGTCCCGCTCCCACCACCACCGCAGCAGCAGCAGAGAGGTTTCTCCATCTCTTTTAAATATTCTGTCCTAAGTTTTCTTAAATTTTCCTGTTTTCGGGAATTTTAATATCTTCATTCTCTCTTCTTTAATATTTTGTCGATCGATCTGTTTCGTTGATTTACGAGATTTCTAGTTCCACCAATGCCACTTTGTTATATTTTTACAGTTTTGATTGTTAAAGGGAAAAATCAATCTAATGGCTAGACACAATTTCGTTTGGGATCGCTCAGTAATTTGATTTGATTTTCTCTGTTTTCGATGCTAATGGCATTATGAAGAGTAATAACTTTCCTACTTTGTATGTGATTTGGTTCTTTCCAGTTTCTACTAGTTCACAGTTAATTCAAGATTACATATTCATACCAAGTATATTTCTAAACAATCTTGGTTAAAAATTGAAATTGTTAGAAGATCTTCCTCAACTTATAATCTCATCAACAAATATGACTGATCAGTTTCATTTTTTACCTTCTTAGGCATTTTCTAAAGTCGTACGTAGCTGGGCTTCAAAAAAGTTTATGACAGGATGGCAAGTTCTTTGTGGCCTACTCGTTTATGCCTTTCTCTTTTGTTCTTCGAAGTACTTCAATAATTTCCATGCATTTTCTTTGTGCACTAGACAATGCATCCCGTGAGAACTGTGCATTTATCCAGATTAACATTGCACATGTTCGCTATACATTTAATAGCCACTGCAGGCATCCCTGATACATTCATCATTTACTCTATATCTTTTGTAAATAAATTCTTTCTTGTTTTGCAGTGTCATACTCCTTCCTCTGGCATTGACGTTCTATATCACTTGGGGGTTCATTCGTTTTATGGACGGATTCTTCTCCCCAATCTATGCCCATCTGGGGATCAATTTATTTGGTAATCGTGTTCCTTCTCTTTTAGTTCATGAGCCTTTGAGCAGAGTTGAATTTTAAGTACTTTTGAAGATGAAATTGATTTGATTATCAATTGGAAAAGACTTGCTTTTGTGCCTATAATTTGGTATATATAAGAAATATTATAGATAAAAAAAGAGCTATACGGAATCAAGGGTCCAGAAAGTGTAGCAAGTCCATATTGTACAAGACATTTCAATACAAGTGTTATATAGGAATCTCAATGATGATATGTTAATAAGCAAGGTAAAGTAAACGCAAACCTTAGCCAACAGAAGTGGTTGAATGACCAACCAACTATTAATGGTCTAATATTGTGTCTCGTGAGGCACCAGTGTAAATGAATTCTACATCCAAAGCCCCTTGAAAATTCAGTACAAGTTTTAAGGTTGAATGTGCAGTAGGCAATCTAACCCTCCATAAGATTTTATCATCTAAAAGAAGAGGTTGTCACTTGGAACCATATGCACTTTTTGAAATGCAGAGCTTGCTGACCAAGCTTCCTTAGGAAGGACGTTACTAGTTAGTTTCTTAATGTTTTATTTTAGATGTTGTTATGAAACTCCATGAGATGAAAAGAAGATTATAGGGTGGTTCCTTGTGAAAAGTGCCTACAAAGATGCATGATTCTAAGGAGGTTTGAGCCGAGTGCTACAAATGGGATTGGAACTTCTTTCTACAATGATGGTAAGTTGACACTTGAACGCGAGCTACTGAATGTAGAAATAATGATCTGAAAATTGTTGGTGCTCGAATACAACAGGACTGTGACATTGCTTTATTAATCAGTACTGAAGTGTCCATGTTTCTTTGTGACCGAAAAAAAATAATGTGCTCCAACTTGCACATAACTAATTGCAAACTAATCATGTCTGTGTAGAAGGTATTGAAGCTAACTATAGTCTCTACATCATTTGTTTTTAATCCAAATTTGAAGATCAAAATGACAGATTAATCTGATTTATTTATCTAATGGATATCTGACTTCTTCATCCATGAATATCAAATGGTTTTATTGAAAGCCTTTGAGTGTAGTATCTTTTATGAGTGAGTAGTTCGACCTGCAGGTCTCGGATTTGTCACCTCAATCACTTTCATCTTCTTAGTGGGTGTTTTCATGTCCTCGTGGGTGGGAGCTTCTGTTCTTGGTTTAGGGGAATGGTTCATTAAGAAAATGCCACTGGTAAGCTACATATATTCAGCCTCAAAACAAATAAGCGCAGCTATATCACCAGGTGAATACATTCAAAATTACTTCATAGTCTGAACTTTTATAATTCCTAAATTTTGAGCACCATATAGCATTTTTTTTCAGATCAGAACTCTCACGCATTTAAGGAGGTGGCTCTCATAAGGCATCCACGTATTGGGGAATATGCATTTGCATTCATCACATCAACAGCGATTCTACAAAGAAGTTCGGGTGAAGAGGAACTCTGTTGTGTTTATGTGCCTTCAAACAACTTGTATATTGGAGAAATTTATCTCGTTAGTCCAAAGGATATTATCAGACCAAGTTTATCAGTTCGGGAGGGAATAGGTGAGAGCTCTGAAAGGTTATGGCATATTGATCCAGCCCATTTTGGATGAGTCCAGATTTCCTACCCACTCTCTACTCGCTGTGAATTGCAGCCACACATCACTCAATTCTAGAGACATGTGGCTGCAATTCACGGCGGGTAGGAAAAGTGAGTAGGAAATTCCGTTTGATTTTGGACACCAACATTATGTTGGTTTTTTATTTGTTTTCATGTGATGCAGAAATAGTTATTTCTGGAGGTATGTCAATACCTCAAATATTGACCATAATGGATGGGCACGCCATTCCAGCAGCAAGAATTGGGAGAAGCGCAGTATATGCAGTTCCAAAAGTCTAATGGCAGTATGCAATCAATGAAGATGCTTCTTTTACTAATTCATATTCCTTCAGAAATCATTGGGGTTATTGGTCAATGAGATAGGTTTTACTCTATCGCTTCACCAGTGAACCCAATAACCAACAGTACTGGATGAACAACAGTTACAGCAGTCCACTTAGAGGAAGACTCTAATACCAATGCTTTGATCGGGTATTAATTGAAGTAACTAGAAAGTTCGCTTTTCCTATAAAGCCTTCATCCCTGGATTCCCCATTTTTTGTTTAAATTGTAACTTGTGGCTAAACCAGAGTTTGCGTTACAGGATTTCTTATTTTTGGCGGCCAAGTTGCAGCTTCAAATCTCCTATGGTAAAATATTGCCATCTTTTCTGTATCCTAGTAGCCAAGCTGAATATTAAAAAGAAAGAAAAGGAAAAAAAAAAAAAGAACTAAGACCGTCTCTCGTGATTAAGTTATTGCCTTTTACATGGTTTCTTGTTTCTAGATTGTCCAATGCACTCGGAGTGAGTTCATGTTTGTAATCTTCACTATTGTTCCAGAGGCGGTAGATTACAGTGGCCCCAGAAAAATTTGCACCTAAGTAGACCTAACTTTGTAAAATGGTTTCATCATAGAAAAGTTTGCTTTGCAAATTTCATTTTCAATGGTGTAAATGCATGGGAGGCCAAATAGGCTAAGTGCAAATTCTGATTTACTTTTGTTTCAGATTTGACTTTGTTTGAGCAAGTGGTTTCCACTTTATAAGCGATAATTGAGGCAGGACCGTAGGAGGAAGATGGGATGATAAAGAGTACAAATTGTGTATCGAGTACAAATCATATGTCTAAGTTTCGAAAGAGTGCAGATACAAATATGCTCAGTGCATTATGCATGTCTGTTTAGTACAAACACAAACAGACTATACAAAACTGAAGCAGGTGCCAAATTTGTATATGGTTCAGGCTTAAGCCACAAACAAACAGAGCCATGAATTGACATAAGACATGGAGAACCTGTTGTTTTACTGTATGAGCCCGTACCTCCTGGAGAATGCTTACTACCTGTATCAACTCAACACCTTTCTGTCTAGGAGTCCAACCTCAAGAATGGGGACTAACGAATGCAGCCTAATTAGTAATTATAGTTGTGGTGGTGCAGGAGAATGACATAATACAAACAGTGTTCTAAATACAACAAATTGCTTTTTGTCAAAATTTGAATGGGCCGGCTCAAATCCCGAGCCTAGAATAGTTTAAATTTTAAGGGTTTTTATTATTGTTCGGTTGGAACAGATGGGGGATTTAACTCTAAATTTTAAGGGTTTTTATTATTGAGGTGGATTTAACTCTAAATTTCTCAATCTTTTTTAATGCTAACTATGATAACTCGAGGCAACACAAGTTGCATCCCTAGTGGACAGCCTTTATGTATTTATACTAACATAAATTTAGGCCCCATTAGTTCGTTGGAATAGGAGTTTAGAATTGGAATCGGAATGAACTATTCTGATTTCAACTATTTGGTTAAGCAGAATCGGAATCCCATTCCTATTATTTCACTTCTCATTTTCATTCTTGTCTGAAACAAACATATTATGGAAACAGATCATTTCAATTCCGGTTTTGATTCCGACTCCAACTGTAAATCAAAAGGACCCTTATTTCTAGTAATTGAATTAAAATGTGGTTCTCTGTTCTTGATTTCTTGCACGATACAATTGTACGAGAGATGATTACTGGGAATGGATGAATGAATTTGCTCTTAGGGGCATTCTAAAAAGTTATTATTATTATTATTATTATTATTATTATTATTATTATTATTATTATTATTATTATCATTATCATTATCATTATCATTCCGTTAATATTTCTTAACAGAGGTGTCCACATCAGCATAAATAACAATTTTTATGACCAAATCACCCTTGAATGGCGAGTTAGAGGAAAATGGTCTTTTTCATTTTTCAAATTTTTTTTCTTTTTACATTTTAGTGTTTTGTTATAATTTCTTTTTTTATATTTTTCTATTTTTTTACATTTTTCTATTTTCTACAAACTTTAAAATTTCCTGTATTTTTTGTTATTTATTTGCAATTTCGGTGTTTTTCTATAATTTTTGGTGTTTTTTCTACAATTTTTATTTTCTGATTTTGTTTTTCAATTTCTATAGTTTCTATAATTTGAAAATATTTTTTTTATTTTGTGTGCAATTTCTATAATTTTTTTCAATTTCTGTGTTTTTATGTATTTTATATTTGAAAATAKTTTTTTGAACTTTTTTCTTTTTTCATGTCTAAATATTAAAATGGTAATATATTAACCACCGTTAGTTTGTTTAACGTCAAGTTAGTGACATGGTGAGTTTTAGACATTTTGAAAAGTTGTGGTGAGTTTAAGAGAAATGCTGAAAACTCATGGTGAGTTTTTGATAATTTTTCTTCTTCTTCTTCTTCTTCTTATTATTATTATTATTATAAAACAATGTTAAAAGAATTGTAATGACTAAAAGCTTTAGATATAACTTTTTTGATATCTTTTACTTCTTTCCTTTTTTTTTTTTTTGATATCTGATATAATTAGTGAAACACAGGACAATCTTAAAAAAAATCCGTGTATGGATGAAATCATGATAATTGGTACATGTTGGGAGGGGTTCTAAGGTTTAAAATTAAGCATACAGAAAAAACATCTAAATCCCTGAAAATGGCATTTCAAAAGCCATTATGTATGCTGATATGTTGCAATATTTTGATGAAAATGGAAATTTTTAGCATTGTAATTTTACCATTCAGCCAATCTTCTTTTAAAATAGCAGAAACAAAATGGTCAAACACTACCAAAAAAAATCTAGGAATATGTCGGGGATGGCCAATGTTTTCAACCCACTGTAGACCCAGCTGGTCGAACCATTCAAACAGTCATTCAGCCTGAATTTCGGGTCCATTTCAGTCAAAACCCATCAGAAGGTAAAAAAAATGTTGACTTGGTCAAGAACCATTTGACCCGGTGATTGGGTCACAGGTTGTGCACTCAATGCACGTAAAACTTTCGGAGGCCATAACTTTGCACTTTGATGTCTGATTGGGGTGGTTATTTATTTATTTATTTATTTATTTGATTTTGGGTAACTTTTCGAGATCTATGCGTCCCAATGGGCCATAGGCACCTTGCCCCGCTATTTTCGTGAAAAAAAAAACTTTTTTGGCCTCAAATTACAAATTTTAATATTTTTATAAATAAAAAGAATAAAAACTGAATTTAAAATATAAAATAATACATATAATATATCTAAAACTTATTTATACATTATTTATTGCTAAAATATATATTTATGCATATACACACACAACCATTTGACCCAGACGGTTGAACCGATGACCCACAACCTAAAGACAAAAATGATTCAGCCTCCAAGTCGATTTTTAAAACACTGGCTTCAGCTTTGATTGAACCGTTTTAGTAAGCCAAACAAATGGTTAAATGCACAGTGGACGACATTAAAGAATTATAGGAGCCTGCTTGTGGGGGTTTCAGATTTGATTAAACCGCATTGAAGAAAGTTTGCAGTAGAATTTGATCCTAAGTCTCTACTACAACAAGTAAGAGATCTTACGAATTAAATCACCATCCGATGAAATTATTAAACTTAGCTCCACCAGAATGCTAATTTGCGAAATGAAATTGTATTTGGATTTTCACTTTTCACCTAAGATAGTAAAATCATAAATTCAAAAACTCAAACTTTCCGTCCACATTTGCGCGAGATCCACGTAACCATAGGAATCTCATCCCTCGGAATCCAATTCTTACTAAACTTGTCATTCCAATTCCAGGCACCTCATGAAAACCAGACCCTTAAAAATTTCCTACGCCATGAATTTGAGAAGGATCCGTGTTTGTGTGAGATCTAGATCCACTATGACTACCACATCAAAATTTGTAGCCGGAGCATAAACTTAAATAGTTAATATCCACTAGTCATTCCAATTTCGTTGCCGGGAATCGAACCCGGGTCTCCTGGGTGAAAGCCAGACATCCTAATCAAAATATAAGGCCTATTGAGATTTCGTTGCCAAGCACACCACCCTGGCCCCGTCCAACCTATTTATCCAAGAAAAATGGATGATGGATACCACACAACATTAGTATTAAAAAAAAAAAACTATTATAAAAAAAATAATGGATACCATAGAAACAAGGTTTTTAAAATCGAATCAAACAATAAATCGGTCAGGGGTTCAATTCTCGTGTCAAACAGTCCAATTGTCCGAAATAAACGAATGGCCTGTTCTAATAAATTTTTTTTTTTAAAAAACTAAAAAACGGCCAAACCATTGGACGGTTCAACCATCAAGATCAGCGATTTACTAATCAAATCAATGGTTTTTGACGAAATAATGATTCTAGAATAAAACGGAACCAATCACCTAATTGATTCCTGGTTTTTCCAATCCAATCCGATTTTGAAAACCATACATAGAACATTGAAATGAGTCTTAGATGATGATATTGAAATGGCTTTACATAATAGGGTAGCTCCCTCCAAGAACCCCTTGATGATCTAACCTTAATGAAGGCAAGGATCAATCCCACGTTTCGGGTTTAACATACTAGAGATTTTTACAACCAAGATAGTTGAGCAAACTCATTCACATTACTCCAACAATAGAAAGCAATAAATTTTTGCTCAACTATCTTAATTGTAATGTGAATGTGTTGCACGTGAGAAATTTTTCTTCATATTAATTACTTGAATTTTAGATTTATCATAGTTAAAATAGAAATTGAAAATTAAAAAAAAAGTAACAATATAATTAAAAGTAAACTTAAATATTTATTATTTAATTATGACATCATGCATTTTCTTTGAAAAGTTGGATCATTGACCCATCATCTAGATAAGAAATAGTATTGCTTTTTTGATTAACTTTAAATTAGTGAAAATTATAGTCGGAGCCGACTATAAATTTAAAATTTGGTTACAAGTTGGTCCATTAACCAACAAAACTCTAACAAACGGCTCTACATTTTAAGTTATAAAAACCCTCGCCATGTCATCGGAGGGTTATGTGTCTATTACCAACATGAGACTCTTAATCCATATTGGACACAATAAAAAGCTTATACTTAAATTGCCCTTTAATGTTGGGTGATTGGAAAAAAAAAAGGTTTTTAGTTTCTCTCTCTCTCTCTTAATCTTCTTCACACTCTTTTACTCACAGTCATCTTTATCTACTCAACGGCTATGTGATTTGAAAATAAATAAAAATCGTTTTTGGTTTCTGTATTTACGTTATCTATATGAATTTCTCTCATTATCTCTCTCTGCCTATCGTTCTCTCTCATTCTCTTTCTCGATCGATCTCTCATTCTCCCTTAATTTCTATCATTCTCCCTCAATTTCTCTCCCTTTCCTTCTCTCATTTTTTTTTTATTTTCTTGTT